ATAAGAAACATGTTTCGAGTCGTTCAGGTTACTTTATCTTGAAATTCAAATTTTCAGCACGAAATTGTTTGTGTGAATCTCAAAAACTAAGAAATTTCTAGAATTCAAAATCGAGCAACCGAAACTAAATGCGTTATACATTATTCGATGCAGTTTTTCACGCTGATGCCGAATATGTCATCAGTTTTTAAGACAAGGGCGATTTTGATGGAGAAAACTTCGAAATACCTCAAAAACTCTATGGCTTTTGCAAAATCCATAACTCGACTTAGACAAAAAAGTGGAAAAAGATGGAAAGCTCAGTGATGCAGCATTGCCTAAGGAACATTTTGACGTGTTTAAATGTTATTTTTGACAGTAGCTAACGGTGGTCGACTTTACTGAGGTAGTCTCAAGCTGGACTAACACTATGAAGAATGCGTAATCTATTACTTATCGAATTTGGTTTTGATGTAGCGATATTCTGTGACCGATAGATAGAGCAAGTGATGGTGATTCCGAATATGTGTTTTTCGCAGTAAGTTAACTTAGTCAAGATCAAAACTTGTCTTGTCTCTGGGCTAGCCACCCATCGACGGGACTCAAAACTGCAGAGGGTACGGAAAAAGATCAACTCAAGTGTGTAAACGCTCGTAAAACAACGTTCTTCTGTGGATGAAATGTCCGATCGTGTTTTCGACGGGCAAAAAAGAACTGATTGTGAAACAACTGAAGAAGTACGGTATTCAAATAGCTGCACTCAGTGAAACAGCCATGTATGATTCGGACATATCAGTAATTAAAGACTATACATTCATCCATTCTGGTGTATTAAATGATTACAAGACTCTATCAGTCCATGGAGTGGCACAATGTTTGAATAAAGAAACCACAAATGTCTGGAAAAGATCAGGATCAGAGCGGCAATCGATTTTGCATGCATCAGGAATACAGTAATGCACTTCAATCCATTAAAGTGGACCAGATCGAACCTATTTATTTGGAAGCGATGTTACCATACGCTGTATTTGAAAATATAACTCGTTCCAATTCTTTTTGGAAATCTTTTCTTGTAATGTATGCTAATCTGCGGTAGGCTATCAAAATTATTTCATGAGAGATCGATAAATTTGAACTAAAGTAACAGAGTCAATATGAGAGGTAGCAAAAATTAAACTTTTTTCTTTTATCATGAAAGATCAAGATTTTTGTGTGAGTCGGTATAGTACACCAAGTGTTCTTTGTCTCACACGTCGTGACGAGAAAAGGAAAATATTACGATAAGCACGGCATGTTTTCTTTTACTTAAATTTTCGTCTACTCTGTTCTCTTCAATAGAAACGTTTTTGTATACCTGTAGAAGAGCCATTGTATTTTACATTAAACATTAATCAGAGGGCAAGAAGGTACTATGTGGACGAAGATTTTTTTGTGCCTGGAATTAAGGCAGATTTATGCCCGTTTAAGACTTTTGCGCCCGGTCCGGGTACAAAAAATCTTTTTGCACTTTTGTGGCCGGAGACAGATATGTGCCCGGTTTGCGTGCGAGAAATTTAATAGTAGAACTACAGACAACCATAAGTTATCCTGACAGATATCGCTTGTGACATACATCTATATTTTTAACACTTTTTAAAAAAATGATATGGTTTTTCGTCTTAGCCGAGTTTTGAATTTTGAAATAGTAATCATAGAAATGTCAATTAATTAGCATCGTCTGGATTTAGTGATGGATGATATTTTCTTCCAAATTCCTTTTCTTTTTAACTTGATGAACAGATCTTGTGTGTTCATCTTTAAAAGGGGGATCACACTAAATTCACCAGCAGAATAGCGAGATGTGTGTCTGTGAACTTCTTGAGGATCATGAGATAACTATAGAACAGAGTGTTTATGTCTATGCAGTCTTGATCTCGAATCACAGATTCGCCAATATATGTTTGGGAACAACATGGACATTGCATTACATAGATCAAATATTTGGTATTACAATTTATGTTTGCATTACGTTCTAATTTTTGACGTTGTTCACTTATGTTGTAAGAAGCACCTTGGTGTATTGCATTTAGAAATAATTGGTGGTATTAGGGTATTGAAAATAAACAGTTATTGAGATCAGTAATGATCGCAAGTTTGGTGGTTCTAGTCTATCGTGTATAAGACGATGATTATTTGCTGTGTGTGGTTTCTGAATAGATGAAAGTACATGTGGTAATAACGAATAAATGGGTATAAATCTAAATTATTTGGTTTATTAATTTATTATTATTAGTCATACTATGCTACTATGAAACAATGAAAGTGGTAGTATGGTGCTATGAAACTATGAGGGGACCCAGTATTATAGTATCGTTTTCATAGTTTGACTAGAACTATGTCATACTGTGATACGGTAGCATGAGACTGAGTTACAATTAAACATTGCACTATTTGTTTTTAGATGGAGAAAACATGAAACTATGAAGCTCATATTTTTACTAGTATATTATGAGACTATGAAAGTGAGTTTCATAGTACCACTTTCCCAGTATCGTACTTTGAATTTCATAGTATCACTTTTATAGTTTCGCAGTATCGTAGTTGACTAGGGAGGAGGCGATAGCATGAGATTGAGGTACAATAAAACATTGCACTATCTGTTCTTAGACGGAGAAAACATGAAAATATGGAGGTCGTATTCGTACTATAATACTATGAAAGGGATACCGTAAAATTATGATACTCATACAATGATACGAAGATACTGTGAACCTATGAAACTGTCAAAGTGATAGTATATGAAACTATCAGAGTCATACTATGATACGGTGATACAGTGTTATACTATGATTCTTTAAAACTATGATAGTCATAGTATGACATTGTGTACCGCGAAACCATGTTAGTCAAACCGTGATGGTGAAGCTATGATACTGTGCAATTATGGAACTGTTAAACTATGAAAGTAAATCTTAACCGAACTTTTATATTACACACATCCTATTGAGAAACGTATATGAGAATAAGTTGCGACCAAAATGTGCAGCAGTTCAAAAGTTACAGATTGTGTGTAATCTAAAAGTTTGGTTAAGATTTTTCTTCTTCTTTTCTTATCTCAATATACTCTATTGAATAAGGTATGGATGAATCGGAATGGAGCTGGGTACCTCCGGTACTTACGGATTCAGTCGATCAAGATGTCATTTGGTTTCGTCTTTTTATTCAAATACTTATTCATATGAATGATACGGACACAGCAAAAAATGATTTGCTACGATTTTGGAGAAAGTTGTATGATGGGAATTCAGCGGAACTTACAATGGCTGACCAATTTGACAAGGAATTTCAACCTTCACACGCTATTCGGTGGTATACTAGAGATTGCGCGATCTATAAGCTAATCGGACGCGCTTCATATTGTACGCATTACAATAGTTTATATACCCTTCGTTTTATAATTAAATTTATATATCTACAACTACAAGACGAACATCAACGATCTTCAAGCTGGTTTTCCCGAAGTACTATCACCGTCTATCGAGAACAACGTCTGAGGCATGAGGAACTAGAACTTTTTAAAACCAGAACTGGATCATTCTATTCAAACAAAACACTATTTTCCTCTTCGAAGATACTAGAAAACACTATTCAATTTGCCAAGTACGCTAGAACTGATGACTCTAAAGTGCCAGTAGTGTTTAAGACTCTAATCAAGTCCGACAAACAAATCACATTACCTTATGCTGATCTTAGTAAATTAAGTTGTTATCCTGATGAAGCTGAAGTATTATTTATGTTTGGTACCATATTTCAAGTAGATGAAGTACGTTATCATGAACATGAACAAGTATGGTTAATTAGTCTTTCACTTTGTGGAGAAGATGATCCTCGTCTAAAAGATTTGGTTGATTATATAAAACATGAAATTAAAGATAAAGCAGATTTAGTTACATTAGCTGATTTCTTCATTAAAATGGGAGAATGTGATATGGCAAAAGAATACTATCGAAAATACGAAAGTCAACTATTAATTAACGATTCTAATATGAAACGTGTTTGGCAAGGCCTATCAAGCATAGCTGATATTGAAGGAAATTATCATATATCGATGAACGATTACACAAAGGCACATGAATCTTTCAATGAACAATTAGCTTTATGTCAAAATTTACCAAAGCACCATCCACAATATGGAAAATGTTATGCAAATATCGCTAATTTATACGAACTTCGTGGGGAAAAAAGTTTCGCTTTAGAAAATTATCAAAAAGCATACAAAATCTATATACAATCGCTTCCTGCTTATCATCCAGATACAACCAAAGTTGAACAGTCAATTGAAAATTTATCACCTCGTAAGTCGTACGAAGTTTTAACTAACAGTCCAAATTAAATAATCTAATCAAAACTGAAGTTTTTTATTACTTTTACGGCTTCATGAAGTCTAAAGAGTCGAGAAATATTAAATAATTTTTTTTAGAAAAGAAAACAACTAATCAGCCAACAATCCCCAATATCAGTGAAATGTCTGAAGAAAACTCAGAAACAAATAAAAATATTGAAACATTTCTCATCATTTGGTTAGATGCAAATGTTAATAAGACCCAAGATAACGAAGAGACATATAAAGCTTTACGTGCGAGTGTTAATTATCTTCAAACATTTGAGAATTTACTAGAAGGTGAGAAATATATTCGAAGTATTCAACGTGAAAAAATTATCTTAATGGTATCTGGCAGCTACGGCATAGAAATTGTACCACGAATTCACGATCTTGTACAAGTTAATTGTATTTATGTTTATTGTGCTGATAAAACACGTCATGAACAGTGGTCAAAAGATTATTCAAAGGTTCGTTTTTATTGGAGAAAAAGAAACACAGAGGTGCTAATAAGAAAAACAGTTGCGCCATATTAATGAAGTTACTTGTCTTTTTTCTCTTAGATACGATCAGTGATTACCAAGCGAAGGTTATTAGTCGAACAAATCACTGAAGATCAAAAAATTCGTAATATAACCGAAGATGTTGTTCCAATGAGTATTTTAAATCGTTCAGCAGTAGCTAAAGAAACAACAGCGAAAGATATTTCAAAAGAAATGGGCTCAATTTTATGGTTTCAACTGTTGATCGATGTTTTATTACGCATGACACATACTGCTGATGCTAAAACAGAATTAACGAAAACATGGACGAAAAATTATACTGGAAATTCCTCTGAATAACGTATTATTAAAGAATTTGAAGGTGAATATAAACGAGAGAAAGCTGTGTGGTGGTACACTCGTCAATCATCACTGTACCGAATATTGAACAAAGCTTTGAGAGAACAATCCACTGACATGATATTCGCTTTTCGATTTTTTTTTAACTGAACTATCGGAACAAGTTTCACAATTGTACAGCAATTATATGGATCAATTAAAATTATCGAACGTAAAAAGTAAAGATAAGAATATAATTCGTGTTTATCGCGGACAAGTTATTGCTAAAGAAGAACTTGAACAAATGAGAGTGAGTATAGGTGGTTTTATCTCAATTAATAGTTTTTTTTCAACAAGTCGAAATGAATTAAACGCACGAAGCTTTGCTATAGGATCACCTGTTACTGAAAACCTTCGTCGAATATTATTTCGAATTGAAATTGATCCTCATTTATCAACAAAACCATTTGCTGATATTCAAGGAATTAGTTATTATCCCAAAGAAGAAGAAATTTTATTTGCGCTTGGATCGATATTTCGTATCAATAAAATCGATTCTGATGTAAAAGATGGATTATGGATAATAAATATGAGTCTTTGTAGTGAAGATGATTTTGAATTAAAAGAATTATTTGCATATTTAAAAAAAGATATTGGAGAAGAAGCATCGATGGTAACATTGGGCAATATCTTACTTCAAATGGGCGAATATGATAAAGCTGAACGAATATTTCTACGAATGGATCATCCAGAAGGACTTATTAATGTTGCAGAATTGAAAGGAAACTTTTATTTAGCAATGAAACAATACAAACGTGCTATTGATTATTATGAGCAATCGTTAAAACTCCGTCAAAAATTACTCCCTGCATCACATCCAGATATCGCTAAGAGTTATAATGCCATTGCTATGGCATATGAATTTTGGAAACAATATCCAAAATCTGTTGATTACTATCAACGAGCAATGAAGCAGTATAATCGTACATTGAAAAACAATCATCCATTGATTACACAAAGTAAAACCAATTTGGTAAAACTTCTACATCGAGAAAATCATTAAATGATTGATTGATCATTTTTCGAACAAAACTTCTTATTGTAGTTTCTTTAAAGCCGAAATATAAAACTCATATACGATCTTTAACCTCGTTAAATTAATAAAAATTGTGTAAACTGAAAAATATCTAGCAGAATATAGTTCTTTTCCAAGTATAATTGATCTTCAGATAAACGGTTTATTTTATTTATTACTACATTTTAAAAAAATTCTTTTTTTGTATATGTTAAAACAGCCGAAGAAAAAAATGTCGAAAGTATGAATCTGATTTCCATTGTATTAGGAAGACAAAGCTCTTTTATTGAACTAACCGAAGGCGGATGTGAGCATTCGTGACGGTGCGAGTTCTGCATTTATGGATTTGATGGGAATATGAAGTGGAATATTGCCTTTTGAAGTCACATCGTGCTCATACTTGAGCTTCCACGAGCGCTTTCGACCTTGCTTAAGGGTCTCATCAGGTGGATATTTAGGTGCCATTCGAAATGATATTCTTCGAAACTGGACTAGATTGGAGATAGGTTTAGGTAAGGATCCCGTTTAGGTCTCGAGTTTGAGTCATAGCTAGTCGAGACTTGATGTTCTTAGGTCGCCAGATCAGCCGGTACGCATAGTAACGCTGCACTTGAGCCAGGTTTGTCTCGTATGTACCCAGAGGTGCAAATATGAGTTATCAATTTCCCGGTGTCTGGTATTCGTATCCCCGTACATAGACACTCGCTCTCGGGGGTATAAAATCGAAACAAATTGCACAAGTTTTGCATGACCAAGTCATATGCCATCATGGTGTTCCCGTAAAAATAGTTTCTGATAACGGAGCGCACTTTGTTGCACAGATTTTCCGAGAAACTTTAAAAATCATGTGCATTCGACATCGAACAATCGCTCTTTATCATCCTCAATCAAACCTACCTGAGCGTGTTAATAGAACGCTAAAGCCGATGTAGGCTATTTTTGCTCAAAATGATGAGGAATCTTGGGATATTCGATTGCTAAGAAGCAAAAATGTTCCCCGCGGGTATCGCCTCGTGCAGTTCTTGCCTCGTCATCTTCCTTTCCCTTATCAAGTTTTCAAAAAGTCTTCTCCGCGGGCCCTCGCGAGGATCCTCGTCCATCGCCCACCTCTGACATATACTGCCTTATTTAAAGCTGTTTCTACTGTAGTTCGAGTCGTTCTGATTCCGAATATCTAAGCTTCAGAAATTCTGTTTCTCTAGAAAAAAACCATCAAATTTTGATATGTGAACTTTACGCTCCAAGTATATTGAATAGATTTACAATCAACTTTCTCAAAATTATCATAGTTCGAGGTAGATCTTCCGACATTAGATTGTGGCGACATGTTCCTTAGTAACTCACTCTCACCAACACCACCCCCCGCCAACTACACCTTGTATGAACATGTTATTTTCCGCTCTGTTTAGTCAGCAGACATCAATCGACTATCAGTAACGTGTGTATCGAAATTCGAATTCGAGCCGGGATGAAAAATTTTGTGTGTAATCACAAATATTCGAAAAATCGACGATTTTTTGCCGAAATCGCGATTAATCGTTCAAACTTAGGTGATTTTGACAACATGGGTTGTTCTAGTCAGAAACAAGGAAAACGTTCCTGTTTTAGTGCTGGTTGAGAACTATCGTTTTCATCTGACATTTTGGTTATTTGCAGTATTAATAACAGAAACAGGACAAAGCGCTTTCAATTTGTGAAAGTGGATCAACCCAACATATTCTCCGTTAGTTTAATCGCAAGAGAAAAACTTTTTGAGAAGATGTTACGACCTGTTTGATGTACAAAAGTGTTATAGTCTCTTTTTTAATTAGTTGAATCTTGCAGGTATGATCGAGTCCTTTAAAGAATCATCTAGAACCTTTTACCGCTAAAACGTTTAGAACTACTGTTCGTAGCATTCGATTCAGATTTGTCTGGACTACAAAATGATATATCGCAATAAATCTTCTCACCTTCATAGACCCGGCCTACTCCGTGAAAAGCACCGGACTC